GGGCTTTCCCTCTCTGCTTCCCTTAGTTCCCATGATGAACCAAAAATCCTTGACTTCCATTCTGAAGCACAGTTGCTCCTCCTAGCGAGTAAGGTGCACAACTACAAAATTACCCACAATAGAACCAAGAAATGGGAGGGAGGATGATCACTCACATCAATGGTTTTATCATTGAAGTACTTGATGTACTCAGGGCCCATGTATAGGGGAGGCTTGCATGTCATCAGGAACACTAAACACACAAAGAATATATATGTTGAAGGAAACAGATAAGGCCCTCGGCAAGGATTTCCTTTCAAACCAAATCAGACTTCAAGCACCAAAGAACACACTTTGTGGGCTGATATTCCCTTCCTCTTAAAATAAAGTCTCTGTAGATTTACACCATTTGAGTTATACACGTAATTAGGAACAGATATGGAAGAAGACTATGGAGAAACTGGTTTGAATTGGGTTCCAACCAAGTCTTGTAGTCTCCTTACCTATGCAGAGTGTGATGTAAAGCAGGCCCATGCGAATATCCAGGCGGAAGAAAAGAATTGCATTGGCCACTTTACTGAACATGAAGATGTTGCCTATATGTTGCTCCACAGTGACTGAAACACAAAGATGTCACGGGTCAGGCTAGGCGGCTAGCTCCTATATCCCATTCTTTGTCCCTCTTCCTGAAATACTTTGAAATGGGAGAGGGGGAAAGGGATAAAAGTCCAAGATCAAACTCAGCGTTGGCATGGAACGAGGCACTGGTACAGTAAATAATGCCTTCTCATAACATGAATGAAAACAACTCCGAAGGGCTTAGGCCTACCCTTGGGAGACAGAGAAACAGGCTAAACTTACTGGACCTGCGGTTCTTCATCATCACGATGGCACTGAGAAACATCAGGATCTCTATTTCTCTCTGCAACAGAATCAAAGTGGCAGAAATGCCATCAGCAGAGGTAATTTGGGTGGGTAAAGGAACCAATATGGAACAAAACCCAACAGATATCCAAAGAGGGAACGATAACAATAAATAATTACATTAAGGTGTAGTGGGAAAAACACCAGTCAGAAGATCTAGGTTCAAGTTCTAACCCTGCCACAACCTGACCGGTGCCTTTCCGAGCATAAACTGCTGAGCTTTGGTTTCCTCCGTTGAATAACATGTACCTCAAAATGCTATTGTAAAAATTAAATGATATGAATATAGAACAGTTGTATAAAGTATAACATGGAATAAAAATGTGAGAAATTACAACCAATTCTCTGACCCTGGGAAAATGAAACTTTTCTGGGGAGACTTTCTTGTAATATTACATTCATACAATATATGGTTATTTACTTTATTTGGTTTTGCTTAAGTTAAATTACTCCTCTTCATCTAATATTCACAGTAATAATCATGCACCTTTAATATAATCTGAAACCTGAAGGAGGCATTTCAGAGCTCCTAAAGGCCCTTTTCAGTGTCAATGATGGTTCTCTCTCCCTTTTCCTCTCTGAAATCAATTAAAAAAAAAAAGCCCTAACTGGTTTGGCTCAGTCAATAGAGTCTTGGCCTACGGACCAAAGGGTCCCAGGTTCAATTCTGGTCAAGGGCATGCACTAATATCTGGGTTGCAGGCTCCTCCCTGGCCTGGGCCCTGGTTAGAGCTCATGCAGGAGGCAACCAATTATGTGTTTTTCTCACATCGATATTTGTCTTTCCATCTCTCTTCCACTCTCCTTGGAAACCAATGGAAAAATGTCCTCGGAGGAGAATTAAAAAAGAAAGAAAAGAAATTGGTTAGAATTGAGACTTAAAATTGTAGAAGGATGGATTTAAAAAGGGAACTGTGGTCAATCAGGAGACCAACGATTAGGATTAACAGAAATATTCTGGCTCTATAGCAAAGACTAGCTATGTATACTCTGATACTAGCTATGTACACTCTGATTATTTCCTTTTCTTCCTGGACAAACTGTAGCTAGACTCTCTGTCTCCTTACATCTAGGGAGAACTGTGTGACGAGCACTCCTGAATAGAATGTGAATGGAAGTGATGTGTCACTGTTGCACAAAGGCAGTAAGAAAGGGTGTGTCATTGCATTCCAGGTCTCTCTCTTCATCTGCTGGCTGGCTGAAGCTGGGATGAGACTGGATTCCAGACTAACTATATGAAGCAGACCTCTTCTCCCCCCACTCCCCTCAACTTCACACCCCACCCCACCCCACCCCCCGCCCATTTATTTTTAATTGAATTTTTTACAGAGAGGAAGGGAGAGGGATAGAGTTAGACACATAGATGAGAAACATTGATCAGCTGCCTTCTACACACCCCTTACTGGGGATGTGCACGCAAACAAGGTACATGCCCTTGATTGGAACCAAACCTGGGACCCTTCAGTCTGCAGACGGATGCTATCCACTGAGCCAAACTGGTTAGGGCAGCAGAGCCCTTTTGATTGATTGTTCTGCTTGTTTGCTCATTGTTTTTAATTTTTTTTTATTATGGACATTTTCAAACATGCACATAAGTTGAGAGGATACTGAATGATAGCAGAATATGACACCCCAAAATTTGCCACTTTGGCTGAAGGATTTTTTTGAAGGCAATTGAGAACAACTAAATACCAAAAAAAGCCCCAAGCTATTTGTCTAAAAACAAGATATAAAGTTTCTAACCCACTCTATCAGGAAGGGCAACAGCTAATCAAGGGAGATAACCTTAATCCCTATCAGCCTGAAGACAGCACCAGTGGAGTTTATATAATACTAGAGGCCCAGTGCACGAAGTTCGTGCACCTGGGGGGAGGGGGGGTTGTCCCTCAGCCCAGCTTGCACCCTCTCTAATCTGGGACCCCTCAAGAGATGTCCAACTGCCCATTTAGGCCTCATCCCATGGGGCAGTTGGACATCCCTCTCACAATCCAGGACTCCTGGCTCCCAACTGCTTGCCTGCCCACCTGCCTGCCTGATTGCCCCTAACGCTTCTGCCTGCTAGCCTAATCACCCCCTAACCACTCCCCTGCCAACCTGATCAACACCTAACTGCTCCCCTGCCAGCCTGGTCACCTCTAACTGCCCTCCCCTGCCAGCCTGGTCACCCCTAACTGGCCTCCCATGCAGGCCTGGTCACCCCCAACTCCCCTCCCCTGCAGGCCTGTTCCCTCCCAACTGCCCTCCCCTGTTGGTCTGATCGCCCACAACTGTCCTCCCCTACCGGCCATCTTGTGTGTTGGAGTAACAGTCAATTTGCCTATTATTCTTTTATTAGATAAGATACTAGCCTTTATATACCATTAGTTTATCTTCCTAGTCACCTTTGGAAGTCTAAAATTTCTGACTCGTCATTTCTCCATAATTTTACTGTTCTTTGTTAAAGATACTATAAGTCAGAGTTTTAAGCCACCTCTTTAGTAAAATCTTTACTAATATCATTATATTTTTCAGTCCCATTTTGGTGAAAGTGGTACAGGATATCAGATAAAAATAGGATCTTTTGGAGTAACATGGCTAAACTTTAGCTAATTAATAGTATGGTCTGGGAAAGGACGGGGGAAATATTAAAGAGTAAACAAGGGATGGAGGATAAAAGTAAGGGAGTGGGCTCTGGTAAAGGTCAAGACTCATTTTTGGAAAAAAGATCAAAACTCAGGATAGCCCTCCTTTCTCAGAAACAGACGCTGCTATTACAGCAGAGGGCACAGAGCTTCCTCAACTGATTTGTCTGGGTGCTCTCTGCACCCCCACTCGGAAAGTATACAGCACGAGGCTTGGGATCATTTATGATGTATTTGTTACAATTTCAATTGGTGTAACAATTTTATTACTCATTTTTGCATCCTCCGAATGCAGCATAGTTCCAAGCATAGTGTATTAAGAAGCGGATGAAGCCTGACTGGTTTGGGGCAGTGGATAGAGCGTCAGCCTGCGGACTGAGGGGTCCCGGGTTGGATTCCAGTCAAGGGCATTTACCTTGGTTGCGGGCACATCCCCAGTGTGCAGGAGGCAGCTGATGGATGTTTCTCTCTCGTCGATGTTTCTAACTCTTTATCCCTCTCCCTTCCTTTCTGTAAAAAAAAAAAAAATCAATAAAATTATTATTTTAATTTTTTAAAAATAAGTGGATGGTGTGTAGGAAATATGGCCAGGAGCATGGTTTCAAGTCCTACTTGTGTGACCTTGGACAAGCCGCCTAATCACGCGGAGATCAACTTCTCCACCAATAAAACGGGAACACTACTACTGGCTTATCTCAAAGACTCCTTGAGAGGCTTCACCCACGAGCAGCACTGTTAATGACTGTGCACACGAACGTGGAGTTTGGGTATGGCTGTGGTGCAGGCTAGCCCTTTTGACCATCTTCATTAAACAAGAAGAGATTTAGACTCGATTACGGTCCAGGCTCTATACTTCAATGGTGAGTCCGCTACCGGCTCGGCATTTCGGGTCCCCAGGATGCAACCACGGAGAAAGGGACCGTCAAGTTCGCGGGGTCCTTCCTAACGAAGGCGGGGGTCGCTCACCCAGTCAAAGTCACACGGGTTGCCGTCTTCGCGCTGCGTGGGGAGAGTGTGACAGAGCGGGGGCAGCTTCCTCACGAGTAGGAAGGCCGCGGAGAGCAGGGCTGAAAGAAGGTAGTAAGGTCGGGCCAGCCATCGTGAAAGGCGCGGCACCGAATACACCAATGCAATCAGAGGTGCCAGGACCGCCATCTTCTCGGCAGGCGGCACTGGCCGCTCTCGGGCGTCGCTAGGCCTGGCCCCGCCTCTCCCACCATTGAGACTTCCAGTGGGCCGAGACTTGGAAGCACCGCCTCCAGAACCAAAAGCAGATTTCTGATTGGACGCTACGGTAGGGACGCCCTAAAAAAAGGCATATGATAGCTTATTGGTCAATCTAGCTGTCGCTTTTCCACTTAAGTCATTTTATTGGATATAGGTGAGCTAGTACTTCCGGTACGTACTCTTCAAGCGACGGAAGTAGCTGCCGGAACAAGGGAGGCAGGTCCCGAGGCATCCAATGATAAGTGGCTCATGGAGGAAGAGGGCGGTACGCCGGGGAAGGATTGTCCAATGAAAAGCACTAGCGCCGGACAGCAGGATAGCGCCGGGGCAGAAGGAAAGATGGAGAATTTCACGGCGCTGTTCGGAGCTCAGGCTGACCCACCTCCACCGCCAACCGCACTCGGCTTCGGACCAGGGAAGCCTCCACCCCCGCCTCCTCCTCCTCCAGGCGGGGGGCCCGGCACGGCTCCGCCCCCCACCGCGGCCACGGCCCCTCCTGGTGCCGACAAATCAGCAGCTGGTTGCGGTCCTTTCTACCTAATGCGGGAACTGCCAGGTGAGTGCCAGGCCTGGCCAAAATCAGCCAATCAGATCATAACGAGGGGGTGATGAGCGTGATTCTTAGCCGGCTAGCGGAGGTGCAAGGTAACCTGGGCAACTGTTACCAGAACCCAGGAGCCCTAAATTGAAAGGCGTCTGTGTAACAAGTTTGAGGAGATGGAAATCAAGAGTCATTTTGGACATGTTAAGTAAGGCTCCAAAATGGCTTTTAGTTCATCCCAAATTCTGCTTTTAGTTCATCCCATCAAGAGTGGAGGGAAATAATAATGGGTATTGGTACAGTAATTTGTATAGTTCACGACGCAATTATATATGTAACAATATACAGGACAATTGTTACAGGTAGGCATTGTTATCTGCATTTTATAGTTGAAAAAAACTGAAGCATAGAGAGGTTGAAGCATAGAACTTTCCTTCGGTTAGTTGTTGGTTGATGTCTTCCACTGACCTTACCTACTCTGATTTTACCTTTCAGTTGACAGATGTTGAATATATGTTTTGGGCAAATGTTGTGTGTATAGGAAGTAGAGAGGAGGACATATGGTGAGAAGAGGAACAAGATTAATAAGTCTGGTCCTTGTTTTTAAGAAGCTTCTTTTACTTAGAGATGCAAAGTATGTAGTTTAAGGATAGTGACCATATTTCTTGTCAAGGCCAATCTCATTATTTAGTGGTCATGCCTCACATAACTATGTAGTGGTTTTGAAAATATCCAAAATGAGACCAATAATAAGTAGTCACTTGAGCTAGACCTTGATGAATTTATGTTATTGAAGAATATTAGGCAGACTTTTCCTATAATTAGGTCAGTTTTCCTAAAGTGAAACACAATGAGGGGTGTTTTTTGTTTTTCTCAGGAAATGATGGAGACTCATTTGGATGGGTCAGAAATTTTGCATAGGGGACTAATGGTTGACTAGGTCCCAAAGCTAAGTTATAATACAGTGTTTAACCATGAGTGCCAATGGAATTTTTAGGTCTTTTCTGAGGGTTATAGGAAATCATTGAAGATTTTTTAAAACTCAGGCGTACTGCTTCTAAAAATATCTAGAGAATGGGAGGTACCATGTGTAGTTGGTCAGCACATTATCCTCATATGCCAAGGTTCAGTCCTTGGTCAGGGCACATACAAAAATCAACCAAACCTAATATATAAAAATGTCGGCAACAGCCAAACAGAAGCTCCACCAGACACAGGAAGTCAATCTGCTGTCAGGGCTAGGTTGCTGAGGCGACCCAGCATTGACTATCCAGGAGACTGCAGATCAGGCCCGAAGAGAGAGGCAGGGTCTGATCTGCAGCCTCTGTGGCAGCTGTTGATCAGCCACTGCCTCTCTTTCTCTTTGGGCTTTGCTAGCAGCTGCACCTCTGTTTCTCTCCAGGCCTCCACAGGGGCTGCTGATCAGGCCTGGAGATAGGCCCAGAGACACTGACTGGCATAGAAACCAACCAGAACCAAATCTGGGTGAACTGTGAGGAGCCAATGACTGCTTAGGAGGCAGAGCTTGTGGCACTGACTGGCATAGAAATCGACCAGTCAAAACCAAATTTGCAGGCAGGGGAGAGCAGTTGGGGGTGAGATCAGGCCAGCTGGGGAGGGAAGTTGCAGTCTGTCAGGCAGGCAGAGGCAGTTAGGGGCAATCAGGCCGGTAGGGGAGAGCAGTTGGGGGTGAGATCAGGCCAGCAGGAGAGGCCAGTTGGGGGCAAGATCAGGCCGGCAGGGTAGGCAGTTAGGGGCAAGATCAGGCCAGCAGGGTAGGGCAGTTTGGGGTGATCAAGCAGGCAGAGGCAATTGGGGGTTAGATCAGGCCAGCAGGGGAGGGCACTTAGGGGCAATCAGGCAGGCAGGCAAAGGCAGTTAAGGCTGATCAGGCAGGTGAACGGTTAGGAGCCAGCAGTCCAGATTGTGAGAGGGATGTCCGATTGGAGAGGGTGCAAGTTGGGGTGAGGAAACCCCCACCCCCTTGGTGCATGAATTTTGTGCACTGGGCCACTAGTGGATACACAAATAAGTAGAACAGCAAGTATCTTTCTCTGTCTCATCCCCCTCCTTTCTCTCTCTAAAATCAATCAATAAATAAAAAGCCATAGTATCTACATAGAATTGACTAAGTCACAGAGGTGAGGAACATCTGGCCCATGGGCAATTTAAGGTCCAAAAAATCATTTTGTCTAGCTCTGACAAGGCATGAGGGGTGAGTTAACTAAATGTTTGATTAAATATAGCAGGCTAATTTTTAAGTTGATAATTTTGTATGATCCTCGAATGGTGTTATAAATATCTAAAAGGCCCTTGGCAGAAAAAAGGTTCCCCACTCCTGGACTAAGAGGAGATTGGAAGTGCAAGATTAGTTTTCAGGAGAGGAGTTAGGGCTGGGAAGAGAGATTTTAAATCATGTTCATAGAACTGACAAAGTTGGAATGACTCTTAAAGTTCAGAAAAGGCAGTGTCTTCTCACCTGTAAGGAGGAGAGCCAACAAAGAGGGGGGATAAAATCAGAATACTATAGCCAAAACCGGTTTGGCTCAGTGGATAGAGTGTTGGCCTGCGGACTAAAAGGTCCCAGGTTCAATTCTGGTCAAGGGCATGTACCTTTGTTGCAGGCACATCCCCAGTAGGGGGTGTGCAAGAGGCAGCTGATCAATGATTCTCTCTCATCGATGTTTCTAACTCTATCCTCTCTTCCTCTCTGTAAAAAAACCAATAAAATATATATTTTAAATCAGAATACTATAATGGTCAAAGGCAATGCCAAGTTATGAGGAGAGGCACTCTGGCACTGTCTCCTACCATTAACAGTGTGTTTTTATTTTTATTGACTATAGGCCCAATGCACAAAATTGGTACACAGGGGATGAGGGGAGTTTCCCTCAGCCCAGCCTGCACCCTCTCCAATCTGGGATCCCTCTCACAATCCAGGACTGCTGGCTCCCAACTGCTCGCTCGCTTGCCTGCCTGATTGCCCCTAATCACTTCTGCCTGCCAGCCTGATCACCCCCTGCCAGCCTGATTGATGCCAGCCCAATTGCCCCTAACTGCCCTCCCCTGCCATCCTGGTCACACCTAACTGCCCTCCCCTGCAGGCCTGGCCACCCGCAACTGCCCTCCCCTGCAGTCCTGGATCCCCCCTAACTGCCCTCCCCTGCAGGCCTGGCCACCCCCAACTGCCCTCCCCTGCAGGTCTGGATCCCCCCTAACTGCCCTCCCCTGCAGGCCTGGCCACCCCCAACTGCCCTCCTCTGCAGGCTTGATTGTCCCCAACTGCCCTCCCTTGCAGGCCTGGTCCCTTCCAAATCCCTCCCCTGCTGGCCATCTTGTGTCCACTTGGGGACAGCCATCTTGTGTATTGGAGTGCTGGTTAACCTGCATAATACTCTTTTATTAGATAGGATGAGAGTTTTGGGGGGAGGGGGGAGAAACACCAATTTGCTGTTCCACTTTTATATGTATTCATTGGTTGATTCTTATTATGTGCCCTGACCAGAAATTGAACCCACAACCTTGTTATATGGTGATGACAATCCAACCAATTTAACTACTTAGCCAGGGCTGTCTCTTATCAATGGAATGTGATATCTTAAATACATTGAATTTTTTTTTCCCAGTTCAAATGAACACATACTGAAAAGTATAAAGTATTATATAAATGTAAGTATAAATATTATGTGGCTGACTTAAATACATTTTATTATTTTCTCTGCGTTCTCTAGGCAGCACGGAGCTGACAGGCAGTACCAACCTGATCACACACTACAACCTGGAACATGCCTATAATAAATTCTGTGGGAAGAAAGTGAAAGAGAAGCTGAGTAACTTCCTGCCTGACCTACCCGGAATGATTGATCTGCCAGGTTCCCATGATAACAGCAGCCTCCGCTCCCTCATTGAGAAGCCCCCTATTCTTGGTGGCTCTTTCAATCCTATCACAGGAACCATGCTGGCTGGATTCCGCCTCCACACTGGCCCGGTGAGTCCCCTCTTGGGGAGGAAGGAGGCAAATGGGGAGGTCTGAAAGGCATTGAGGTAGTTTTTCTGTCCAAGTCTGTTCCTTCCTAACTTACTGAGCAGAACAATGGCGAGCAGGGGATTTGCTCCCTCCACTCACCCTGACCTTCCTTTGGTTCCTTCAGTTGCCAGAGCAATGTCGTCTGATGCATATTCAGCCTCCCAAGAAGAAGAATAAGCACAAGCACAAACAGAGCCGTACCCAGGATCCTGTCCCCCCAGGTAAGAAGCAGTTCTATTTAAAGCCAGAAAACCTGATGTTCTGAATCGGGTTCACCCATCCTCAGGGTGAAAAAAAAAGTTCTTTACAGAGTCCTGGACTCCCAGATTCTCCTGAAAGAAGAAATTAATGTTCTGGGGTTTTCTGGGCAAGTAGGACCTTGGGACAGGGACCTTAGCAGTGCCTGCATATCCTCTCTGGCCATTTGAACAAAAGCAGTTGCCAATGACTAGAGGTCTTCCTATAATATGCAGAGTTCTAGCAGGAGAGGATTTTGAGCTCTACAGTTGATAGGCACCTAATGTCTCCAACAGAAACGCCATCTGATTCAGATCACAAGAAAAAGAAAAAGAAGAAAGAAGAGGATCCTGAACGGAAAAGGAAGAAGAAAGAGAAGAAGAAAAAGAAGGTAAAATAGGGGCCTGTTGCTGTAGTCCAGTGAGTTTCCCTTATGTCTCACCCCTATACTAGGTAGAGTCCTTAGCTTCAGGTTGGACCAAAATTGAAAACTCAGGGCAGGTTGCTCTGTTTTCCCTTCCACTCCTGGTCAATGCCAAGGCTACTTCCTAGTTGTTCTTGTGCTCCTGCTTTGTCTTCCCCAGAACCGACACAGTCCAGACCACCCAGGTATGGGCAGTTCTCAGGCCAGCAGCAGCAGCAGCCTCCGCTAACAAGACAACTGGACTCTACCAGAATGACTTTCCTGCTGTACTGAACCTGCTGTCAAAAACTGCCTTCCTGGCTCTTGGACACTGCCTTAGGAGCATCTCAGTGGCTGGATCAGAAGCAGACCTACTGTGCTCATAAGAGGAATGCATTATGAGAGAGAAGGGCCATGCTTTTGTAAGGCTCAGCCCAGCTTTCTCATGGACATCACTTCCTCTCCCAGGAAAGCTTTCTTTTCATCTCTTTTGTGCAGTTTGTCTGATTTATATCCTTATCTGATTTGTTAGGGTTTTTCTTAAAAAAAAAAAAAATGCATTTATCAAACTGGCTGAAGTATGGCTGCCTATTAAGAGGTAAGTGCCTTTCTGTAAGAGTCAGAGTTTAAGCAAAGGCATGCTAAGATCTGGGGGGATTTGGGCTTTGTATTATATTATCAGTAGTCAGGGAGCCAACCAAAATGAAATTGGGGAGCATGGTCCAAAGTTAGGAAGAGCTTGTTAATGCCTTTCCACAGAAGACAAATAAAATAACACCTTGCCCATAATGTTGACAACCAGACACCTGTAAGATCTTCATACTACATCTGAAGAGCTGATCCAGTTAGTTCTCCTGTATTCTAGGTCAATTTTGTGTTGAAACAGAGTAGCCAAACAAGCACCTCCAATCACCACTGTACTTCAACAGGTTGATTCTTGGTCAAGCCCATGATTTTTTTGAAGTGAATATATGGCAAGCAAAGGTAAATGCTTCTCTTATCTTTATACTAGTAGTAAGAACTTTGGAACTGCCTCATTCCTTAGTTAAGATAAAGTATTTGGCTGATGAGGAAACATTTCTAAGCTTCTAAGACAGCAACAAAAAGGCAGCCTACACTAACAAAATGTAAAATTAAATCCCTTTGGTCTTTGTAGGCCAAATAACTAAAATAAATCTGAGAAAACCCAGCTTAATGTAATCAGACTTGAAGTTAAATTGGCAGAACAGTTAAAATCTGTTGCTATGAGCCAAGGCTGTCCCAAGATCATAAAGGAAAAACCTCTCACTCATTTATCTCCAGTTTTAAAGTAGGATTTCAAAGGAAGAGTTCATATACTTATCAGCAGTGAAAATAAAGGGTTCTAGCCAGTTTTCTGAGATTAAGTGTCCAAGGGTGCCTATTAAAATTAGGGCCTTTTGCTTTTGCAAATAAGAGACAAAAATAGGAGGTATCAAATTGAACTGCCACCCATCTGTACAATTGGCTATTAAGAGAGCTTTCATACTTTGATCATTCAGTCTTCCCATTGGCTACATCCAAAATGAACTTTACTTTTCAGAGAGACAAATTCTATATTGAGGAACAAGTGTGGCACAAGTCAAGAGTTCTCCAAATTTCAAAATAACAGACTTTAGTAGTTGCAAATGATTTTTCCCCCCAGGAATTTTTTGGGTTAAATCACTGGGGAGGAAAAAATATCAGGACCTGTTGTCTTAAGTATTATTTTCACTATAGTCCTGTCTAAAGAAGGGCCAGGACCAGAGAAACTTATGAGGCTTTATGACTCCCCACCAGAGATCATTCACCCTGCCTTAACCAGACAAAATAACACAAGTCAGGGGGGAGCTGGTTAGATCAGGATTTCTTTTTATTCCTTGGTTTTAAAATGGCTAATCAGAATAAAAAATAAAAGGGCCTCTATCTAGAGGCTGGGGTCTCCCTGTTTAGAGGTTAGAACCCAGGTATCTCCTTTACCCAGCACCATACTGAGGTGGGCTGAGGGGTACCTCTCGAGGGATAATCGGAGGGGCCGAGGCTCCTCTCTATCCCCAGTTTTTGGCATGTGATGAAAAATATTGCTTTTTAGATTCTTCTCTCCTGGCCTTGGATATAAAAATGTTAACTGTGTGAAATGAGGGAAGGTTTTGAGGGGCTAGTTGAAAAAGCCCACCCTAATCCTTCCATCCCAAAAAGGGGATTATCCAGTTGTTTCTGGAGTTTGGCCAAGTTCTTTTCCTGATCTCCCCTCCACCAAAGAAAATCACGGGGCTACAACCCCTTTCCTGGGGAAACTAAGTGCCAATGAGCCCTAAAATCTTCACTCTCTCCTCTGACCAAGACTTCAGACTCGCCTCTCTCCAGTTCCTTTCCTGATCACTAAGCACCAACAGGGGGTGCTATTTTCTTAATTGGTGATGGACAAAAGAGAGAACCCTGGGGCAAAGGAAGACTTCTATCCACACCTTCTCGTGTCCTGCTGGTCCCAGGAATGGGAAGAGTAAGATCCCCCTCCTTAAACATATCCCTCCCTCATTTTCCCATCCCAGGATAGATATATAATTTCTTTGATATTTATAATATATATATGTATAATATATATATGTACACACACACACCTGGTAACGCAGAAGAGGAAAAAAATAGAATCCGTAACAATAATAAAAAAAATTATTTCTGGTTTAAAAATGATCTGGTTCTCTCCAGGGCGAGCAATTGCACAAATGTCCACTGAGTCTGGTCCAGGGGCTAAGGTAGGGAAGGTCTTAATAGGTAAAGGGGGTTGCTACCCCAGTCTCAGGGCCCCAACTCTCCGACTCCCCAACCCCATTGCATTTTATAAAACGCTCCTCATCCTCTTGGAATCGGTGATTTAAAAAAATGTCCATGCAGGGGAGAGCCCCTTGAGGAAAGGAAGGTGGCCACCTGGGGGCCCTTTGGTGCAGGCGCAGAGGTGTGGGGGAGGGGAGGTGCCGAAGGCTCACACCGAAATCTCGTAGGTGGTACCACCTACTCCTGACACCTTCTTGACTCCTCCCCTTGTGGGGCTACTGAGAGGTGGCTGGCCTGGGCCAGGGGAAGCTGAGCCTATACTCTTGGGCTGCCCATTGGACTTGCTGTAGGCGGTCTTGAGCTGTACTTCATCTCTGGGAAGAAAAGAAGAGAGGTATCAGGAACTGGGACACAAAACACAGAAAAGGGAGACAGTTTTAAAAGTTCAGGAGGAAAAAAAAAATGATGTACTTTTCTCTATACATATTTTTTTTAGTATGATGAATAACTTTTAATTAAATGATTTGTACTTAGGAAATATATACTTTACACCTAAACATTCCCTTTTGTTTTATTGCATCGCTTGAAACAAGCCTGACTCCCTATCTCCTATTTATTCTCTCCAATAGCACCTATCTTGTATATTTACACTCAAATAAATTTTTAGGACAGGATTAAGAAAAAGTATTAAACTTCAGTCTCTTGACAGGAATGGCCCATGAAGGCAGCTGGAGTGAGAATGAAAATGAAGAGCTATCCACAAGCAGGACAACCCTGGGTCCATTTGCACTAGAACATACAAGGGCAGTCCTGATACCTTCTGCAGGGCAGGATGCTAATTATAAGTGCGCTGAAGGCCAGGATGAACTAATACTTACTTGGGTGTCAGTAACGGCTGCAAGGCCACTTCTTCAGTCTCAGAGACACCAGGTGGAGCTTTTTGGCTGCTATACGACATGGATCGGCCCAGGTATGGAGCAGTTGGGCCTGATTCAGGGGACCCTAGTCCCCGGCCCCTTAGTCCATCTGGCTTGCCAAATCGGGGCACAGCTGGGCGTCCCAATGGAGTCTTGCCCAAGGGTGACCTCTTCGAATCATCTGAGGAGGAACTAGTACGAGGGGCATGGCCTGAGCCTGGTGTCGACTGAATGCCTGAGTCCCCCAAGCCTGGTTCTTCCTCTCGACCTGGGAGTGGGGGTGACTGGCGTAGCAGCTTCTCTCGTTCCTGGAGGGAGGCCACAATATGGCGCGACAGATTGTCGTACCGGACTGGTGAGGGCTCTCGGTGTGCTGGGCCAGTTGGCACCAAATGTGGGTGCCTCTCAGCTTCCCGCTGCTGAGCCAGTCGGGCTGACAGGAAGGGAGAGGTGTAGCCTAACGGTGTGTCTGGCTCCGGCCCTGCCTGCACTGACTCGAAATCAGGGCTGTCGGAAGGAGTGAGCAGGCTGTCATAAGATAAGCTTCCATTGCGTGTCTGGTTGACCAGGCTCTTATAGGAGGTGGAGGTTGTGCCTTCTGAACGGATGGATTGCAACTGGCCCAGCTCAAAGCCTGTGCCCTGGGCTGACTTGAGGCTGGAGGAGCGTGAACCACTGGACAATGGATCGAAGTGAAAGCTTTTGCCAAAAGTGGGAGAGCGGAAGCTCTCTGGCTCCAGGCTGGGTTCTGACCGGTAGCTGGGATGGCGGCTGCTCTCTGCAATTGAGGTTGGCTCCTTCAAGCTGTCACCACGACTTAACTGGGGGAGAAAATAAAGCAGGCTCTTAGTGCAGCTCCTCATGTGACAGATGCCAGGTCCCAAAGCCCAAGATGTCCCTCAAAAATGGCCTGTTACTTGCCAGCAATGTTTAGAACATTTGTATGCATTATCTTGTTTAATCCCTAAAGCAAATTTATGAGTTAGTACAAATACCACCACATTTTAAGATGCAAAAAGTGAAACTTAGGTTAAGTAACTTGCTCATGATGGGTTTTGAATTTAGGTATGACAATCAGTATTTTTATCTATTTTACTTCCTTGCCCCCCTTTAATGAAGTAAAATAAAGGAGATTCAATCCCCCTAACACCAACAATTAGTAAAACGCCTTTGATTTTCTTTTCTTCCCTCTGCCTCTCCTTTCCCTTCACCCAATCTTTTTCCTAGAACAAGTGGCATATTTACAACCCTACTGCTTAGGGAGAACCCAGTACCTTGGCGCTGGAAGAGTGAGGCATGGCGGCTGATGTGCTGCTGCTACTGTAGCCTGGCCGATACTTGTACATGGTAGGTGTGGGAGGGCTGTCCTTGCTCAACAGGCTGCTGTCTGTAGGGGGAAAAGGCCCAGGAGAAGCACTTTACAACCTATTCTCTAAACCTGGCTAGAGTTCATTAAGATACAGGAGAGAATAAGGTAGGAATAGTTTAATATTTACTCAGCCAAGGGAACACAATTTTGTTGAAATCAAGACTAAAGACTCCTATTAACCCAGATCTCAGAGTGAATATACCAAACAGGACTAGGATGCTCTCTGTCTAAAGCTGACAGTTCCCCCACAAACATCTAATTTCTAATTCACTGCCATTAGCTAAGTGGTACCCCCTTTCTCCCAGTTGTTCAAAGTAGTGGCTCAAGTGCCAACTATTAGGTGTTCTCAGCTACAAGAAAAGCATTATCTCCTAGTCCTTGCCTGTATGTGCTCTACAATTCAGTCACCTTCTCTCTCCTACTGCTGCCCTTACCCTCATTAGCAGCCAGGTTGAGGTGTGTTCGTAGCCCTGTATAACGGCTCAGGTCTGGTTTAGGAGGAGGTGGAGGTTCAGCATCAG